CAAACCCCCATGCCCCGATGCCTGGTTGCCGGCGGTACCCACTGGAAGCAGTCCCGCTCCCCGGCCACACTCTTCAGGTACTGCTTCAGGGAGCTGCAAAACTCGCCCAGGTGCTTGTGCGACACTGTCATCTCATCCCGCACCAGGAGGAGGTACTGCCGGGTCCCCCAAAACACAGCAGCACGTGAGACCCGAAAAACACAGTGCCCCGTCACCCCCCCCCAGGTCCGATGCCATGCTGCAGGGACACCCCAGCACCCCGTGGGGGGTGGCCGGGCACTCTCACCGTGCAAGCCGTGCTCTCGCTGTCCGACAGCCGCTGGTGCAGGTCAAACCAGAGAGTCTGGGAAAAGAGGGAAAAGCCCTGGGTGGAGGGGGGCTGAGGCTGCGTGTCCCTCCTAGGCCAGGGGGTTTCTGTCCCCAGTGCTTGGAATGACAGGCTGTGCCCTCTTCTCTACTGGGGCCAGTTCTGAGAGCCATTTGCGCCTTCATGCCCCCCTCATGCTCCCAGCACAGCTGACATTCCTGACACCATGTCCTTGCATCAGCCCCAAAACAACTGTCACCTTTTCACCATCCCTGAATTGTCACTGGGGCAGCAGGAGTGGGGGTGCCCATCCCTCCCCAGTGCCACCCAAGCCTTCCCAGCCCCAGGTGCACTGATTTCCTCTGACAACCATGGTATACATTTTTCTGCTCTCAACATTAATGACACCTTTCTGACCCCACGTACATCACCTTTCCCCATCCCCTCCTGCCCTGGATGTGCAAACCAGGAGGATTTCGGAAACATCTCCCACACTGCACCATTTTCTCCTTCAGTCCCTAAATGGAGTAAGATTGTTTCCACCAGAGACGTTGCCTTCTTCCTTACATTTCTTTCTTGTTTAAATAAACTCACAGTTAATTACATTCAATAGCTGCTGTCAGCTCATCAGATGTAATATCCCCCACCACCACCAGCACCCCAGCTCCCACCGTGCATGCCATGACACAGGGATGGGCATGGTCACCTCTTGGTCATGCAGTCTCAACCAGGTCAGGGAGGTGGTGGGGCTGCAGGAACACCCAAGGGGAAGCCCCAAGCATGGAAACACTGGCCCTTACCTTGTCCTCCAGCCTGCCGATCAGCTCAGCCAGCCTGTTGATCTGCCCCTCCAGCCCCTCTGCCTTGGTGTCGGGGGAACCTGTGCAGAGCCAGGAGGCAGTGATGGGGTGAGAGGCATCCCCCAAGACCCTGCTGCTCCCCAGGGAAGTCGAATATACCCTCTGTGCTTCTGCCAGGACTGCAGCTCCCTTCCCTGAGCACCCCAAGCCGCCCTAGGCTGCCAGTGCGGCCGGGAAACGGCTATCACTTACCAGTCTGGAAGCTCTTCCCATGTTCTCTGGGGACCATCCAGCTGGTGGGAGAGTAGCTGGGGACGGGGTTGTCATACCAGGTGTCCATCAGACTGTGGCCAGCCTTGCTGGGGTAGTGCCTGCAACCAGAGAGCACACAGGCTGTCAGGGAGGGCACAGCTAAGCATGTACAGTGTGGCGTGAGCGGCCCTGGCAAGCTGACACAGAAGCACCTTTTTGGCAGCTCTGCTGCCAACACCAAACCCCTTGGAGAGCAGCAGTGTCTGCACCGTGCCCAGGCAGAGCAGGCCTCCCTTCCATACCATCCTTCAGCATCACCCAGCACAGGGAGTGGGTCAGAATTAGACCAATACCAGTGGGCTACTCCCAGCAGCCATCACTTTTCAGTTTACGAAACACTGCAACAGCCCTCCTGGCATCTCCTGCAGTCCTCAGGGATTTTTTTCTGCCCTAGACAGATACTGGCAACACTGGGCATTGGGGTGCCAGCAGCTGTGCCCAGCTGGCTGGCTGCACTTTAGCAGGGCTGGTTTTGCAGACAGATGGCTTTGGTGACTAACTCATGGGAAAAGCTGCTGTCACACGGGCAGCACACAGGCTACCCATGCCCCAGTTGCAGCCTGGCGGCAGCCACAGTTCTAAAGAATGGAGACACATCTACCATAGCATGTCCTCCACCTTGCTTCTTCCTCTGGGGCTACAAAGCCCATTTGGCCTGGCTCATCCTGCAACACTTCTTGGAGAAAAGGAGCATGTGTGTGTGTGAAACGCATGCACATACCCCTGAGATCACTGACCCAGCTCCTTGGTGGCTCCACCAGGCTGCCATTCATTTGAAAGCCAGTGAGTCTGATAAGACCTGCCATCCCCAGAAGGGTTTACAACTGCCATCCGTGTGTAGAGAGATGGGAATGGGTTTTGGGAAAGATGACCCTCTCTCTCCTTCCTCCTCCACCTTTGGGAAGCCTGAGCCTCAGAGGGGGAGGCTGAGCTGCTCAAATGGTTTCCAGAGTTTCCTCCCAGTTAGAGCAACTCCGTGCTGGCTGCTTGCTGATGGATGTGCCCGGGAACCCTGTCTCCTTTTGGTATCTCTTGCCACCTATGCAGCTCATGGATGGAGACAAGAAGCTGAGCACTGGGGAGCCAATGGACACAACACCAGCCAGCACTGTCCCTGCCCTCCTGTCTCTCCCCAGGCACCCGTCTCCCTCCTAAGTGCAGCAGCCATGTGCCCTCTCTACCCTCCCCAACTACCCCGGGCAATTTTGGCTCACTACTTTGGTGCCAAGGGAACAATGTCTGGGCTGCTGTTGTCCCCTAAAATCAGCCAGTGTGGACTTGACCATGCACAAGGGAACGCGACAAGTGGATTCAGTCCTGAAGAACATCCCTGAGATAAGGAAGCAAGAACAGTGATAAAGGTGGCAGGAACATCCCCATTGCTACAGGCTGTGCAATAATCCCACTGCCTGTGCTGAATAATCCCCCATCAATAGGCAGGAAATTAGGCGAGGACAGAGATTTCCTTTTAATCACAATTTAATGAGGTGTCTCAGGCTTGGATGCTCTGCTCTCAAACTTCATTTTACAGCCCTTTATTTTGGTGCTTTTTAGGCCACCTCTTTGTATTCATACGGATGCATGAGATCATTTTTTGTGTGATTTTTGGTTGTTTTTTTTTGAGGGGGGGTTATTATCACCACGAGAAAACAACTACAATACTCCTCATTATGAACTAGGCGCACATGTCAGCAAATAAAAGCCAGCAAAATCTTTCATGGGCCCTAATTGCTCTGTCTGATGTTGGACTTGTTTCTTCCTCATTGTTTCCCAGTAGCTCTTACTTTTTCCATGTATTTTGTACAAGGTTTGCCACAGGCCAGCAGTTTCCTTCCAAAAAGGGGAGAAGAAAGCAAAGTGGGGTGATAAAACCCAGAGCATTCCTCCTAGGAAAGCTAGTGAGATGTCACCAGAGCTGCCCAGGGTCTCTGTGCCCCAGGCACCAACAGCTCCTGTGAGACCAGCCCACTGCTGCCTGTCCCGGGATGCAACTCCTGCTGATGTTAAAAACCAAACCATCAAGACTTGGCTGCAGCAAAGCATTCAGGCACAGCGGCCCCTGCGGTCCCCAGGGGGGAACTGTGATTTTCACTCTCTGTGGTCCACATGCCCTGGCCCCCTCTGCCCACCCATGGCTTGAGGAAGCCAAGGCATCCCCCAGAGATGGCCTCCTGTTCTGCAGGTATGGCAGGAGAGGGACTTGCTTCATGAGCATCTGATAAACGGTTTCCATGGCAACCTGTCCTGGTTACAGCTGGTGACAGAGATACTCCCGGGAGGCAAGTGACACTGTGACACCAAGGGTACCCCTTATATATTAGCCCTGGGAGCACTTGAGAAATCTTGAAATTCTCATCTCCTCTGTCTTCTCCAAGCACAGTAGCACATGACAGGCTGGTAGGATGGGGACAACCCCCTCCTAAGGGACCCAAGGATGGTGGTACCTGTCCCCAGTGCACAAGCGCTTTTCATGTCTGTGAAACCTTTCCCGTTGGGTGTCCCGGCAGGAGGGAGAGCATCCCTGTGCAGGAAACCACCTGCCGCAGGTTGTCCCCAGCACGCCCCAGACACAGCCACCCTGCTGCTGGTGCCCATGTTTTATTCTGGATGTGACCAGTGGCTTTGCTTGGAGAAGCAGCCCCAGTGCACCCAGCTCTGCCCAGCCCTGCCCCAGGGTGCTGCCCCCTTGTTTGCATCTCCCCCCTGCACTGCCGTGGGTGAAGGAGTCAAGAGGCACCCTTAGGGCTGCTGGAGAGTAAGGGACGGGGCAGGACAGAGTGGCAGAGGAAAGCCCCAAGAGCCCTCAGGAAGCTGGGGAGGGAGGCAAAGCAAAAGGCAGCTGCTCGCCCAGCTCCCCTTTGCTCCCGCACACAGCCTCTGCATTTTCCCTCACCCCACAAAAGCATCCTCTGCTTCTCCCTCCACCCCCCTGCACCAAAATCAACCGGGAAGTGGAGAAGAGGGCAGAAGCTTCTGCAGACCTGGCAGGGTTGGTTTGCTCGTCAATGGCATCCACAGCACTCTCCACGGAGCTCAGCAGTGACTGGGTCTGGTTCGCCGTCTCCTTCAGCAGGAAGCGAGTCACAAACTGGTCCACGTTGCTGCCGCTCTCATACACCTGTGAAGGCAGAGAGCGAGCACCGTGAAATGGGTGGCCCTGCATAGTCCCTCCAGCATCCCCCACCCCTGGGACAGATTGAGAGAGGCTGTGATGGGAGGGAGTGTGGGCAGTCAGGCAGTGAGCATTGTTTTATTTACAGATAAATAAAGCAACATAAAGAGGTGATTACACAAAGCCCATAGTTGCTCTCTTTACTGTGATCATAAATTATTATTGCCTTGCAGTGCAAGAGCCAGCGGGTGCAGGTACGAAAAGTGCCCCTCCTGTGCTTTGGATATCCCTACTCTGAGAGCTTCAGCATGTTATTTAGTGCCTCAGTCCACAACAGTATGGCCAACCCAGCGCTAAAGTAAAAGGGTTTTGGGATGATTAACACGGCTCTCACGGGGGAGCCGCAAGCTGAAGATGCCTTCAGTCTAGCAGCAGAAAGCTCTGGCAGTCCCCACCCAGATTCCCTCCAGATCCATGCTGTGACACAAGAGCCTCAACATATTTTGGTGTTAAGAGTTTTCTTTCTGAAGAGGGAAAAAGGAAAGCTCTGGCCATTTGGGGCCAGAGGCAGGATGGAGACAGCCTGGAGCAGGACTGCCTTCAGCAGGAGGCAGGATGCTCCCAGGGAGCTTCATTGGAGGAGGATGAGCTGTTTGAGTGGCAGAAGCTCCGAGGATAACCAAAACCCTCCCAAGACAGAAAACACTTAATAAAATGTTTTAACAGTATGACTGATCTGCTTAAAGCACCCAGGGCCCCTTCCCCAGCACAGGCTTGCTGTGCCCTGCCCATGGCACGGTCCTGCTCCTCCCGCTCCTGCCAACCACCAGCAGAGGTGGACCCTGCACAACTGGACTGACACCAGTACGACTGGACCCACACCGGCACTACCAGTCCACAACTGGCCCAACCAGTCCAACACTGGCCTAACACCACTCCAACCAGTCCAACACCAGCCCAACTGGTCTGACCCCAGCCCAACCAGCCCAAGACCAACCAGGCCACTGGCAACACCAGGTCTGGGCTGATGCTGACCACTCAGCATTGGAGCTAAAAAACTTGCAGTAAAAAAACCCCTCTTCTAAACCCAAAGTCACTAGCATAACCTTTTTCCCAGACTCTTCCCAATCCATCAGTGACTGCTGGGACAGCACGTGGCCCAGGCAAACCCCTGCCAGGCCTGTTCCTGAGTGCGAGCACCTCCTGGCACTGGGCTCCTCCAGGACTCGACTTTTTGGTGCCGTGAGATGGGGATGGATGCTCCTGGCTTCCTGCATGCTGCCAGCAATGACCAAACTCGTGGGGGGCTGGAGTAATCCCAGCACCACCAGTTATCTGAACACGAAGCAGCACAACAAGCTCCCTGAAACAAATTATTCCTGTTTTACGGTGATTAACGAGGGTTATTTCCATGGCAACTGGAGCAGCTTCACAAGAACCTGAAGGGCCTTTATCTCCTGTTTTAAATCATAAAAGAAGAATGAGCTGAAGAAAAACACTTCTAGGAAAACTGTCACAGAGCTGATTTCTCACCCCTGATTTGGAAGGGGAGCATGAGTTTCTTGACAGCTTCTTGAGCATCCAACTAGCACAGCAGTTAATGATTTCCTTTAACACAACAAATTTGCTCCCTTCCCTGTCACAGCCGTGGTGTTTCTGGGGGATGCGCATGACGTGGTGATCATCACTGGATGGTGATGCTGAAGCAAATTTCAGTGCAAAGGGCCATATTCATGGCTTCCTGCAGCTGCTTGCTGTAGCACTGTCGGTGGCAGGGAGGGAGCTGTAAGAAGGGCAGGGATTGACACGATGTGTTGCTCTTTCTCCAGCACACCAGGACAAACGGTGACAGGACCAGCTTAGGGTTTCCATGGGCTGCAGTGGATCTGCACGAGGACCAAGTACTGGGATGCTCTTCAGGTTTGAGGGATGCACTTGGCAGCACACATGGGACCCTGCCACCTTTTGAGCCTTCCTCCAAGTAGGACCATGGTCCCCTCCGCAGACCCAGTGCTCCCCAGCACAGACCAGCACACTCCACCAGCACCACCAACACCTGGGTCAGAGGGAGGAAAGCTGGCAACAGTGCAGGACACAGGGAGACAGGCCAGAAGATCAGGCAGGGGAATGGGGGGATGTCCCTGGCCAGGTATCATCAAAGCCTCAGAAACACAACCGTTAACACTGCGTGAGCAACTCTGAGTTTCACCTTCCTTCATAGCCTGGCAACGTTTGAAAATGAGGTCAGATGGCTTAGAAAACCCCCCTCACTTCTCATTTAACAGTGAGACTCGCAACACCCTGAAAGCCAGCGCAGACAGTGCAGCACTGCTCACCCACATGAATGAGCACGGGACGATGAGCGCAGTGGAGCAGTGTCCCTGTCGGGGCTGCCTCGAGGCTGCCTCTGCCTTGCTGGGGGGAACTGAAGATTGATGTCTCCCTTGCCCTCCCCTTCTGGATTTTGCCTTATTTTACCAGGGAGCAGAGCAGTGGGTGCCATGACACGAGACTCCACAGCCTGCCGGGGCTGGCTGTGCTTCCTTGCCTGCTACGGAGGGGTTTGCTGCTGGGCTTTTTGGACTGGGACACAGGTGCCTTCATGCCAAGCTCAGACATCTCCTGACAAGTCCTGCCCAGTTTTCCCTTGCTCTGTGCAGGCAAGGAGAGTGATAAACAGGCAGCCTGGGACCACGGATGTGCCAGCTGGTGGAGCACTGCACCGGGCCCCCTCCGTGGGAGGCATAGGCACCACCACGAGACAAATAAACAGCAATAGAGCCAAGGGGGTGATGTGAAAACATTTGTTGAGCATTTGGATTGGGGAAAAAAATATTTTAATGCTGTCACAAGGTCACAAATATTCCTGGGTAGCTGGAAGATCTCTGTTCTCCCTGGAAAAATACTCACAACTCGCTCAGAACACGCCATATACACCGTATATATGTGTGTATTCTTGCCAAGCATACATATACACACAGACATACATGTCACATCTGAACAAGTCTGTATAGATGGTGTCTAGATTCACTGTCAAGGTACCTCACCCTTCAGCTTCCTCTGCCAGCAGCTTTGGGAAGAGCACCACACCAGGCCAAATCCTCCCCTTTGCCCAGGCAATTATTTTATCATTTAATACATCTTCTACTATCCACACTGTGGCTAAGGAGAGTGTATTAAATCGATAAATCTCCTTGGCAAAGACATATAATTACATTTGGGATCTGCAACAATTTCTTTTGTGGTTCCCCCCCTCCATGGCTGCTCCTCCCGTGCACGCCCCTGCCTGCAGGCAGCAGCCTGCCCATAATGAAGGTGTAAATATATTAATCAGGCGCTCTATAAACAGGCTCTGCTATAATTACAGATAGGTTTTGATTAACTCTCACACCCAGCCCTGCTCTGATTGCTGGGGATCTGACTGCTGCCTTGGCAGAGGGCGGCTCTTACTGGGGGCTGGGGGCTGTGTTCCTCCTCATGGATTTAATATAGACCTCTGGGCCTCTGGGAGCTGCTGCCGCTAAACATGGAGCTGTGTGCGCTCTTCTGAGTGGCTGATTGGATTATTCTTTTAATTAAGGGTGTGGGTTTTCTGGGACATGATTTGCCCTGCCGAGCATGGGGGCTGGATGCAAGCACGGGGCTGGCCAGAGTTGGGGGCTGCACCTGGGCCCCCATGCCCTGAGACCCCCACAGCTGCTCCAAGCACTACTGCACCGCAAAGAGACAGTAATTCCCCATTAATGTCCCTTTCCAGCGAGATCTGCAACACCCCTGTCTTGTCGTTTTCTCCTCTGATAGTCATCCAAACCACGTACCACATCCTCCCAGGAAGTTCCAAGCCCATCGACTGATTTCACACCCGCTCCATGCTCTTTATGCCACCCTCAAAGAGTGCACCACCATTTTTCCATTTCAATCCATATATCAAATAAATGGGGTAACATGCTGCTATTTACCTCCACTTTTCTGCTGCTCTCCAAGACTCTATAGTCTGTCTCCTGCAAATGCCACCAATTTCCCGATCAACCCTTCCCATGCCCGGTGTGAACAGATCGCTCTCCCTAGCACAGGAACCTGAGCCTTTTGGAAAACCATATTTATGAAGGTGCATGCAGGCTATGAACGGATGTGTAGTTAAATGTCGTGATTTTATTACCTAACTACAGCCTATAATCTTGGTCCAGCTTTAGGAAAAATCATACAGGTGTTTCCCATGTTCATTTAAATCCCCTTAACTCCCGGCATCTGGATTTGCTGGACAGATGGATGTTGGGTACAAAGCTACAACAGCCAATGTTGGAATACTGAGATGTCCAGGAAGATTGGATGCTTTTTGGCAGGCCAGTAAATCCAATAGCTCTGAAATTAAAGCAACAGTTCCCTACCCCTTCCTCACTTAACTAACTCTGGTCATTTGCCAACCCATCTGTGACATTTGCTCTCACAAGCTGGTTCTGAAATGCATGTGCTCAGAGGCTTTTCAGCAATCCCTCAGGCTCTCCTCTAGCAAATGTCTTATTTGGCATAGCAAAACCAAGTTATTAAGAAGACCAGCTTCAAAGGAAACCTTCCCATTGTCTTAATAAAACATTTGTCAGTCTGTTCTAGGGAGATTTAATGAGGTTTGGTCTTATTAATTCCATCCTGAAGAGTTATTTCTTCCTCACTTCGCTTGAGAAGTTAAAATATTTATGGAGATAATATAATAATTGCTGCTCAATGAAGCCACTTTGTCCCAGAAGCTCTTGGAGAGGTGCATCTCCAAGCCTGCTCTTTTCCATTCAGCTAGTCCACTAGTTCAAAGCTAGAAAGACTTTGGCATCTGTGCTGGCTTTGAGTGGTGAGGTTTTTGGTAGAGGGGGAGGGGGCTACAGCAGTGGCCCCTGTGAGAAGCTTCTTGAAGGTCTCCTGGCTCTAAGTCAGACCCGCCTCTGGCCAAGGCCGAGCCAATTAGCGATGGTGGCCACAACTCTGTGATAACATATTTAAGAAGAGGAACCTGA